TTTGGGGGGCATTCGAAGCCAGCTGCTAATTAAACTAATTGAGTAATTTCAGAAATTCAGAAATTAAATGAGCAAATAAAAAATGCCAAAGACAGAGACATAAACAAATAAAAAACAAAACAAAACTAAACCAAAGCCAAATTTTGAAGCGCAATAATCGCGGGCGCAATCGCAACTTAAACCTGAAATGGCCTCTAAAATTGAGGGGATGTCAGATGCGTGAGACCATTACTCATGGATCGCCCAGCTGCGATATAGGAGCAGACAGCGGACTGCAATGCGTCTCTATTGGCACCCACTATTTGGAGCAACCTGTCCTAATTAATTTCCAACTTTACTGAAATGGCTGTCTTAATGGGGCGAGTCCACTATGGTCCGCAGATAGCCATCTCAATGGGCCGCAATTAGCCCGGGGTTAGGTGCTGCTGTTGTTGGTAGATAGTGGCCACAGAGTTTGCTAGCTTGCTAGTTTCGCATGGCCAAGAAATGTGTGGCCAAAATTTATGCAAATGCCACAAAACTGAGTCGTAGATGCCGTCACTCCAAAGAGTTTTCAACTTTCTTTTGGCCAACGCACACACACGAGACAGTCAGACAGAAAGACAGACATACTGATAGATATGGATAGATACATGGCCAGATACATAATGTCAATGAACTGTCGTCTACAATAAAAATGGTTAATATTAAAAAAGAACTTAAAAACCGAAGCGTAGAAGTCGAAATTAGAGATACAGAGACAGAAATTGATCTGGCAGCGGTCGAAAAAAGGGTGAGAGCCGGGCCGGGGGAAGAGACAAACTAAATGGTATTTGAGATTTACATAAACTGGCCATAAATTAAATTAGCCAGAGTCCGAGTCCGAACTGAAGCTGAGAGAGCCAGGGACAGATACAAGATGCAGGCCAACTAGCGACCGACAAGCCGGGCCAGGCATCATCATTATTCGAATACAATTAACACAAAGAGAAAGCAACAATGGACCTAAGAATGTATATACGTATCTAGCAGATACACCGCATATACTGGCATTAATTTTCCTCTGGTATGCCCGTCAACTTTCGGTATTGAAAAGCAATAAAAAACGACGAAAAAACAAAAAAAACGAGTCAAAGTAGGAGAGATCACAGCCAGTGGATCGCTCAGATACAGATACAGATACATATGTATCTGAGCGAGGGCTGTAAGTGTGTCGTATCTACATCTTATAACATTTAATTCATTGTTCACCATTCGGCGTGGTTTTTATTTGTATTATGTATTCCATTTTGTAGTTTGTAGTTTTCGTTTTCGGGCATTTGTTTTTGCCTCTTAACTCTTAACTCTTAACCCATTCGATCTCGCGTTGTAAGGCGGCTTCTGCCTCTTCTACTTTGGGCCATTGTGGCACAATGGAAAACGCGTATTGGCCAAGTTGTGCGTGGCGCGCTTGTTGTCATTAAATTTGCGTTTATTTCATTGGTTAACTATTTGCCTCTCGCTTCGTCGCGTCGCCTCGCTCTCTGCATTTGTATCTGTATATGTATCTGGCCGGTGTATCTGTGCGTTTTATTGTTTCGTTTCTTGTTCGTTTTCAATGTTTTATTTAATGATCGTGTTTACATACTTAGTCCATCTCTCTCGCCCACAGTATTCCATCTTAATTGTTTAGACACCCGAAATTCAAATCAATTATAGCCTTTGGACTCTTTATTGAGTTCCATAACTGTAGGTACAGTTTCTAAAACAAAAGTATTTCGATTAGAGCGAATGAAAAAACTAGTTTGGCTTCATATTCCAGAAATATCTCGTGGGTTGTCAACTATATTGATTCTCTAAGAGTAAAGATACAATATTCTGGTCTCTTTTTAATACATATTAAATTCCTTATAAAACCTCAAATATTTAGGAACGCTCTTGGCTTTGACTTATCGACACACACACAATCTATTCTCGTTGCCTCACAAAGTGTCAATCCGATTTTCGAGTCCAGCCGGGATAATCTGGCCGAACGGCTTTGATTGCGTTCGGGGGTCAACTGCCGGGGGATATCGATTGATGTGACCAGCGGGTTAATTATAACATTAACCGACTGACAACTGGTCAGTGTCGCGGGTCCTCGCCGCAGCTCTTCAGCACTCAGCTATCGATGTAATCGAACACACATGCCACATCGCAGCACACCGCTGATTTCTGAAGCGGAAGGTGTTTGCCAGCGGCATCCAAATATACTTTTCCCACACTGTTGTCGTCGCCGTCGAGGTGTTCATTTTGCTCAGCTCCCCTGATGCCCCCTGATTTCCTACTCCCCTCCTCCCGACTGGTTGGCTTTTTGGGATCTCGGGTTCGGTACTCGTAAATTTGCATATGACATTATTAGGTGGTTCGCTGCTCTGCACTTAAAAAAAATTCTAAATCATTTGATGAAAATCTATAAGCAAATATCCCATAAAAATAAAAGGCTTATGGAATACTAGAATATTTAGAAATGTAGTTAAAATTTAGTTCTTAGGTATTTATTTAGTTTTTTTTTAGAAAAAAACAGACCTAAGCTACCAGCAATCTGTTTCTAAAAATTTTAGAATAATATATAAATTATTAAAAACAATGTTAAATGTAAATTTGTAATTTAATAATCGATTTAAGTAATTATTTCTTAAAAATTGTTTTAAATTAAAAAAAAAAAATCCCAAGTGTGGCGCTTCTGCTGTTATTATGTCATAATTTTAGGAAAAAAGTGAATCGCTCAACCAAAATAAATTAAAAATTGCTTTCATGCTTGAATCGTTCGCTGGGGAGGCGGTAACCGAGCTGAGTGAGTGAGTACTCGGCGAACTTCATTACCCGGCGTTTCCAAATATAAGCGCTGTGACAATGCCATGGATCGATCCCTCCTCGCAGCTCCCATGTCCCAGCTCGCCAGCCCAAGTGTTTATGGTCGATTGGAAGTTTATAATGGATAATATGCGCTGTGCTGTGATGTGCTCGGTGCCCCCCTTTCGTTCTGGATTCAAATTTAGAACGCCGAAGTGAATGAAGTGCGCAATATTCAATTAAAGTCATTATTATTAGTAATTTCCCTTCGGCAGCAATTGCCATTGATTGTTGGCGATCGGTAAATAGATCGATAGATCGCTCGATCGTCCGATCGCCTCGGTAATCCCGCACTAATTGATACTCGAGAGCGATGGATTCTCGGCCGCCGGGGGGGCCAGCTGCATTTCGTTTTGAGAACCAGGCAGACGGACTCCTCCATACCGGAAAAATTCATCAATTTTCAATTTGAATGTATTAAGGCGAGCACCCCCTACAGCCTACCGCCCCCAGAAACTACCCTCCACATTTTTTTTTATTTTTCTGGGGGCTAAGCATAATGAGGCATTATGCAAAAAAGTCCGCGTATCGCTAATGAAGAGCTGTACATACGGACGTCTTTATTAAAAGTAATTAAGTCGTTGTAATTGTCATTTGACGAACTGTCTATTAAGTGGAAAAGGTGGGAGGCTATTGAGGCTAGGGTTTAAGATCTTTTTAGAGAAATTATTTCATGAATTTGCTAAAATAAATTACAGTAAAGATTTTATATGTAAACAAAAGTTTATGAACATTTTTACAATATCTAAAGACTAGTCTCAAGGCCAGTATTCTATTTATAATATCAATTATCAATATAAAATATTTTGATTAAATAGTAAAACAAAATTGTATATTTTTCTAATAGTTAAAAACCCTACAAGAACTAAAATTTATCTACAGCATATTTTAAATCAGTTTCTAACAAATATTTTGAGAAATACCAAACTATATTTGACACAAATAAAGGCTATTTGAGCTGAAGTGAGCATAAAACCTACCCCATGGAATGATTTTCCCCCGCTAGAACACAAAATTTTGCCTCATTCCCTTGGCCCCGCTTGGCGTCATTGAAGTAAGTAATAATTGTGTCTAAATTTGTACGCAGACCATTTGAATCTCAATAAAATTTATAGTTATGACGAAAATATCTCCCCCATTCCCGGCTCGGCGACTCTGCATGCGAGCTTTAAAAGCATTTTTCGGGCAAAGAAATTGAACTCAAGTGCAGACAATTGAAGAGAAGCTCCTCGCAGACATTTTTCGGCTGCGGATATTTTTGCTTTGAGGTGGTGGGTAAACAGAGACGAGGGGGGTGAATATACCCCTTTAGAGATATTTTTGATTTTGATTTCAATTCTCTATCTTTTTTGCTGGATGTCTGTATTTTTTGTTATTTTTTTTTTTTTTTGCAAGCGGTTATTAACCAATGCAAAAGTCAGCCGGCAGTCGAGTACTCGCGCCATTTGGTTAATTGATTTCATCGTTGCCGGGGCACCACCCCCTGCACCACCCACACCCTTTATGGTAGCCATCCTCCCTCTTCCTTAGTTTGTTTTCTTTTTTTTTAGCGTTTGCTTTGACCAATTCGAATTTATATTTTTTGTATTGTTGCCATAGAGCCGCGGACACAAGTAAATCTGTGGGGGAAAACTAGACATGTGTAAAGGGGGAGGTAGGAGGAGATACACCTGGAGAAAATTCATATCTTTAACTGGATTTCAAGAGATTATAGCAAGAATATTATAATCTTAAAAGAAAAAACTGGGGCACTTTTAATAAAAACCATATTCTTGAAGGATATCCCCTTTAATCATCTTAAAAAATACTCTAAAAAAACATATTTTAAGAACCCTTAAAGATATTTTTCCAGTGCATATGCACAGAAACAAGATTCTGTACCACGGGGTGGGGCTTCGGCGGTATGGGGAGCCTGAGACCGCCACAATTACGCCAAATTAAAAGTAATATTGCGTCGCTCTTTGATTCTATTAAGGTTGTTAACCGGGAAGGGGCACTGAAGGAGTACATAGTGCCCGAGGAGACCCGCTTCGGGGTATGCCAACTCGTTCACATTTAACAACATTAAGAAGCTTTTCAATTGCGCGGCATTCAATTAGCGAATTGATTTGCCCGGTCCACTTAATGGAAATTTGAGTGGTACTCACATGTTGCTGCTGGTTAATGCTGCCGCAGTAGCAATGCCTCTTGATGTTTGCAGCGTCTGGGTTTCGGTAGATTTCGATTGAGCTGCAGCCGCCTCAGCTTTCTGCTGCAGATAGACTTCCTTCTATTGTTTTATTCCCCTGAATTTATGTGACTGCAGTGGCTACACCTCAGCTCCCTTCAGCTGCAACCTTGAGTCTGATCTCCGTGCGTCTGCAACAAGAAAAGGCAAGAATACAGTTGACCATTAGAAGTTAGTTTAAATTCCCTTTTCTCGATTCGTTGAGCCTGCGATAAAAGTGTCAATTGCAATCAGAATTTATTGCCACCTTTCGATGCTTGGCTCAATTCGTTGCATTAGGATCAAAGCCCCTGAAGATTGACCGAAACCGAAATAGAAATAGAATAGAATGCTGGGGGAACCGAAACTCAAATTCGATTGCAGGTAAACCTGTTACCTGTTCTTTCCGCCGGTCAACGGTCTAATTGCACCCACTTAGCACTCAAAGGCACACACACTCGCACACTCACATGAGGGCAGTGCAACAATTGCTGTTGATTTTGGCCCTTTTGATCCCACGTATAAATTTCCAGCTTGACATGACCGCCTCTGCCCTTTGTCCTGATATCGAAAAATGGAATCCTGGAGATATCTTGGTTCTAGGCGGTAATGTCTTGACCAAATTCCAGCCAGGCAAGGTGTTCAATGATTAAGGATCGTATTATTTTAGCGGCAAGAGTTTGTAGGGAAAAATAAGCCACGATTATAATACCTTTAGGTATTATTTATTACCCTTTGAAAGTTGACTTGACTAGGAGCTTACAAGTCTTTCTGGCAAAGGGTTTTCTTTATTTTTAAACTATTTTGATATATTTCTTTGTTTATCAATATCCTTTCTCCCTTAAATTCAAGACATACAAGTTGAACCAAGTAATTAAAGTAGTAAACCCGCCAAACATCCCCAAACTTTACACCCAAACCAAAGGCCCAAAAAAAAAAGAAAATAACAATAAGCAAACTAATTACTGATACGCGTGGAAATTTTCAGCAATAACAACGTTCAGAAAAAAAGGGTTCGGTGGTGGAAAATTATGCGCTGCAATTTTTATTGCCTCATTGTTCGTGGCATGTTGCTGTTGCTGATGTTGCCGATGTTGTTGTGGGTGCTTTGCATTGTTCTGGCTTTGTTTCTTGGACATTTTTGGGTTAATGTTAATTACCCGAACTGCTTTCGCACTCGGCGGAGGCAGGCCAAACAGAAGAAACCCAAAGCAATTAAAATTTTTATGACGCACTGAGTTATTACTTCAAATCCACAAACTTGAGTAATGGCCACGCCCCCGCTCGCTGACCTCACCCTCATCCTCACCCCTTCCCGGAGCCCGGCGAAGGACGTGAGAAACTCTCCCAGAAATGAAAAGAAAAGGAAAACGAACGCCCACGAAACAGAAAAAATAATAAGAAGAAGTAGTAGTATAAGTAAAGAGGCCCAAAGAATTCGGGTCCAAGAACAAGAAGAGATATTAAAAAGATTTATTGTTTTATGATTTCCAGAGGGGTCACGACCATCAGCAGCGGCAAAAGTGCAACTGTTTCTACCTGGGCGGCGATAGGTCAAAGGTGAACCGCTGCCCAGCAGGCTCTGATCGAATCTGTAGCCGGGATCGGTAGTCTTCGCCAAGCGTGTGTGTCTGTGTATTCCACTTGCACTTTCACTGCGAACATGCGCCGGGTGAAATGCTGTAATTAAACTCTAACTATCAAAATGCAATAAATTATACGAAAACTCCCCACATCGTTCCTCACGGCATCTGAACTCATCTACGACTTATTTCTCTCTGTGTGTGTCTTCCTCGACATCTCTTTCGTTTCGATAATTTACATAAAACGATTTTCGGTTAGATTTCAAGCCATTCAAGCGACTGCAAGTGAAAAGATTTCCGAAATCAGATATGTGAAAGTTTATTAATTAGCCAGCAAATGCCAGATATGTGTGAGAGACCGAAACTGAGGCGCAGTTTGAAGCTGAGTTTATTGTGGAATTTCGGTTAAAACGGTTTAGGGGTTTATTGAGACGGAATATTAGAGCTCAGATGAAGTAAATATAGAGAGGGATCTTGTTAGAGGTCGATCTATGCTGCTTTAAGGGAAATATGTGATATTGTAAAGTAAAGTAGTATGACCATATGTGCCCATACATATTATACATTGTTATAGTGTGGCCTTCTCCTTGTAACTAAAACTAAAATAGCTTGAATTTCTATATATAGAAACTCTTGCATTATTTCCCTCGTATTTTTGCACACATTAATTATTCTGATTCACCACTTGATTACCCAAAAATGGCTTGGTAATTCCAGACATTTTCCTCGATCATTAATTGAGGGCTGACGTCATTCTGCCTTAACATAACCCAGCAGCAATGCTTGTAATTACTTCTTCTAACTACAACTAACAAGCCGCAAACCAAAGTTGTGTTTCCCCCCGCCGAGTGGGTGGAAATTTCAGGAATTGGACGGAGGACACAAAGGATTGCATGATTAGGACGCATATCAATTACTGGCTACAAGAGACCTCTCGCTCCCTCTTTCCAGCTTGATCCCGGCTACAAGCCAAATGCGATTAACATAAAAGGTCAGAAAACACGGCGGGGGAAAAACCAGGATCCTCGAACACCCTCTAACACCCATAACAACAGCAACAATGGAAAGTGGTTAAAAAAAAGTAGTAATAGGCGTAATAAGAATAATTGGTGATAGGGGGCTCACAGGATGGGGAAAGCCTGGTGCGTGTTCAGGGGTTGCTAAGTCCTTTAGTTGTTGTTGTTATTTTTTGCTGGAACGCGTTGACTTGTGACCATTTCATAAATACCGTTATAAACAAATTACGACAATAATAACACAGCAACAACCACACGAACAGGACAACAACAGCAGCCGCGCTGGAAATATGAAATTTATTTTTTATTGCCCACATTTACACATGTCCAAGCAACGCCCTTCGACAGAGTCGGGCAGGGTTCCCCCGCATGCCCCCTCTTGACCCCAAGCGCACTGAACCCAAAAACAGAAAAATTATGAATTTCTAATGAAATTAACCTCCCGCTATGCTTCTCCGTTGGCTTTTCCGGGGATGAGGCGGAGGAAAAGTGTTTATTTGCTGACGGGCCCACAACTATCCAACCATCCCAAAAGCAGCTAGACTGACCGAAGGACAGCTGGAATCGAAGGGGGACCCTCGCCTGCTGTTGGTCCTCTTGAAATATTACAGAGAAAGAATAGGGACAACTACAGATGATTGCTTAGATAACAAGAATCGTAGAATTTTAAGGGGAAAATTTAAAGGAAAGTTATGGTATATATATAATTATCAAAGAATCTAATGAAAAATTCGCAGTTTTTTTGTATTATTCCTGAGGTTTTTTCTTTAGTGTACTCCTCCACTGCGACTGCCATTGACCCGTTCGCCGTAAGCCGCCCTCTTTCCGTTCGCACATTGTAATTTTCGGTAATAAAAACGCTTTTTACTTCATAATTTTTCGAAAATGCGACTGAATAATTGACGTGGGGGCCTTAACCAAGCTAGGATAATTGCAGGACTTGCAGAATTAAGGAAAATTGAAGAAGAAGAAGGTGTCGAAATAAGGTGTTCATGAGAGTAAAGTCTGAACAAAGTAAAAATGGCATTGCCATACTTGGAAGAACACTTTATTTATGCGCATTGTGAATCACCTTTGGCAATAAGAAGAATCGACAGCTGGACACAAGGAAAAAAAAAAGAAATAAGAGGAATCTTCAGCCGAAGAAGCAACGGCTGTCCAGTTCAGCTTAAGTGGGTATTAATTTCTCCCCAGTGACGCGACGTCCTTGCCCCCGCTGCCAATGTCCTTCCCCCTGGCAGTACCCCCACCACAACAAGCAAAACAAGCGATTGCATTACCACAGAATTTTGAGCCCAAGAAGGAGGCGGGCAAGAGGAAATCGTAAGCAGTTAGTCACAAATACAATCGCGTAATTAATTAAGCGAGTCAGCTGGACACTGACCGCTGCTGTTACATGAGGAGAAAGGGTGAGGAGCACCCAATAATGAAAGGATAGGCACAGTGGAACAAAGGAAAAAAGGGATGATGTAACAAAGTTTGAAACTAAAATATAAAATGAAAACAATTTATAGGGAGCCTTTAAGGACAAATGGAAATGAGATAAGAGATGTCACAGTTGCTATAAAGACGTAAGAATGCTGGGTTATATCTTTCAGGTGTTATATTGTATCTCAAATATCTGGGTTTTGTATTTGAAAAACGTATCACAAACAATTTTGACATTTCCTGTTTAATGCTAAATCTTTGTTTCGATTTTTTGATACAATTCCTTGCACTTGCCCTCCACTGTGCACCGTGGAGACACCATGCTGGGCACCGGTGCTTAACCCGCGACACACGCATTGTTCTCGGGACGGATTGACTGTGGACTCACAGTGGGCTAAAGAGAAAAAGGGGGGAAGAGGGTTGTTTGGTCGGCAAACACACCTCAAATCGCGCGTTTTGTCCTTTATCAGGTAATTCACTTTTTAACTTGCTCTTCCTTCGCATTTTATTTTGTAATTCCAGTCGGGGCCTCCACCACGCTTTCTTCTTCGTTCATTTGTCTTTCGACCGCTGAGTGTGTGTTGTCTGCTTTATTTTGTTTCCTTTTTTTTGTAATTGTTTGCCATTAATTACAGCAACAACAGCAACAGAGGGAGGAGCAATAACGAGGAGTAGCAGTCGCCCAAATATTTCCGCTTTAACCTCGCGTTTACCCCCCGCGCTTGACTTTGGTTGTTAATTTTATTTATAAGTCCGCGTGACACACCTTCCTTTTTCGATTCGATTTACGGCCCCTGCATTAACGGTTAATGGCAGCTCCTCAGTGCTTCTTGTCTCTTTTTCTTGTTGTTGTATCAACAACAATTGACGTTTTGGCCATTTAATTGCAATTGCTCATGGCATTAGAACTTGCCCAAATATGATTTCCGTTTCCGGTTATCGGGGAACCCCCTCTCACCATAGACCTCTTCAAACTTGTTCGATACAACACGAAGTTTAGCGAAATCGTATCAAACTCGAACCGAAGTTTTTACGAACGCGAAGAGAAGTGAAGAGCGCGAGCGAAGAGAAGTAAAGAGCGAGAGCGAAGAGAGCGACTCATATTCATATTCATTTTCATTCATG